TATTTTAAAAACCTCTAAATTTCCAGCATCATTTTTGTTGTACCATTTCCTCGCACTGATTGCTTACGCAAAAAAACTCCTTAAAATTGGTGAAGAAATTTTAGCGATCAACTTGAATTTTTGAAACCCCTTTAAAATGTACCATATTTTGAAATAAACAGTCAAATCAAATCAGCACTGCTGTATATAAATGGCTTAGAATTTTGACCATACTTCCACTCCTCAGTTAAATTGCAAGTTTAATTTTGATAACGGTACTGCAGTCTGAATTCTTTGACCGCCACCGCCAAAACACGTCAATGGTATTCATTCGCAACAATTCTTTCATTAAGTAAAGGAAGCCATGAAACCTGCCAAAGAACGCTGCAAGGCAAAAAAAAATTGTTACCGATTAAACAATAAATATATTTTAAAATTTTTCTGCCATGATTACTCTGCTCCACTGGGACCTTTTAAACAAGTGACTGCTCATCCGTAAAACATTTATTTAACTTCCAATCTCTGCTACCCTCATTCAATTCGTGCTTTGACTTTCTTACAATGTCTAACATCCTCACAATCCGTAAACTTTTCATCGTAAATCCAGCAACAGGAAAGCGGAGAACAAGAAAGCGTTTGCTCAGGAGACCTTTTACTAAGTTCTGCGTGGGCTCCCAACACCATCTAAAATAATTGAAATTCCAAAGATCTCAAGTTAAATGTGTTGATGTGTGAAGAAATAAAGTTTTATCCTTGATACTCAAATTCAGGTTTCTCCCGTTCCAACTTCGTCAGTTATCACAGGCTATATGGATCCACAAAACTAAGAAAATCAATTGCATTACCACAGCTAAAAATAAACATTTAAATCTTACAATCTAAATCTAAAATCAAGTATCTGAGGTTTCCGTTGAACATATTACTTTAGTTGAAAATTGCTACCCGGACTTTAGACGGTATCAGCAGGTTCAAAAAAACGGCAAACAGGTTTTTTTTGCTAAAATATGTTACCTAGTTGTTCAACATTTACAAAGATAAGCCATTAGAACAGACTCTTAAATATTATGTTTGTTAAACAGCACTTTCTCTGGTTAGCAGGTAGTAATTCTTCATATCCGGTTACCTAAGATATTCAGAAAACCCTATTGCAGATTTTTCGACAGCTATTCGTTTCAAACAATTCATACTATTGTTGCAGAATTCACTGAACAGATATGCTAGACTGTCTAGACTAAACTGTACAGAAATTTCCATATTATTCAACAATTTTTTGAAAAAAAAAATTTGAAACACTACTGATAAGGGACACGGAAAATTTATCTAACTAATTCTGCTGACCGTTGCCCATAATCCTACAGTGATTAGCAACTCGATAAAAGTGAGGAAAACCGCCATTGGCAAGCTGCCAAGAACCTTGGAATACCAGCAACTACTGAAACAATGAAGTTGGCTTGTCCATGCAGTTATGTCAACCCAAAAGCGGCATGGGTTAAAATAACAGCATATTTGTTGGCCTTTATTCCGACAACCCGGTTTTCATGTTTGTGTTCGGCTTTCTCCCATTTAGCATCCGCTAAGTTCGTTCATTGAGCTTTTCAAATGGTGTCATTAACGTCGAATATATACATCTATGAGGAACTTTATAGCCGTTGAGTGTATAAACATCAAAGCGCCTGTAAATCTTTATAGTTAAAGTTCTAGGTTTTATTTCGTCGTTCTATAAAAAAAACCAACACAAAACCACTTTTTCTCCCCATCGCTGCCACTGCTTCTGAAACATGGATAATAAAAGATTCAACAAAAAAAAATAAAATAAAATAAAATAAAACAATATGTAAAGGAAAAAAGTGTCAAACGACAATCGTCATTGGTAAAGATGATATGCGCATTTACCATTTTGCTGCTTTTTTTTGCTAGTATCTTCGGCCAAACATGAAGTATTTCTTGAGTCGATATACTTTTTCACTTTACACTGGAAAATATTTTGAGACTTTTGAATTGTTTATTTTGAAATTCATAGTTACCAATTATAGTATTTGTACGATGTATGTGACGACGATGATGGTTTATTTTTATTCGCCCTAGTAGTGTTCTATAATGTAGAATGGCAGTTACATAGTATACGTGGAAACTGACTGATATACAAAATATGCAAGGGTTATTTCATCTATAATTAATAATATTTACTCAGCACTCAATATTTGAGACTAAAAGCTTATTTGGGTAGTGCTTAGGCAAGAATGAAGGCTTACTAGCTTTACATCAACGTAAAGTTTCGACTGACCCGGTTTACGTTAGGCAGTGAAACAGTTTTGAAAACAAAGACCTTCTTGCACTTTTTTTTCAGCGTTTAAATCATAAAATTTTCAAAGATGTACAAGAATAATTTCCAAAAAAATAAAAATAAAAAGTAAATAAATAAATCTTCACGTATATATGTATACGAATATAACTATATGCAGTCAAAGCGAAATTTTGAAACAGTCAATAACGGAATTTATTTTCACGGAGTAACAGTTTACTGCTGTTTTTTTCTGTCATAGCTAATTTTCCCGAAGTATTTTTAACTGTTCAACTTTTTCAGCGTTTTATGAATCAGTATCGCCTGCTTTGATGGTTTTATGAAAGGAATTGTTTGCTTATTCGTTTGAATAGCTTCAGTATTTACAAGAATTCATACTTTGAAAAAATCAACAGAAGGCACTTAGTTGAATAAGGATTAATTGATAGTGGTTTCAATGCGTTGATAAAGTTCTGTTTCATTCTTTTTTCCTCGTTTTTAGTGGGTGATGATTCACAATGTCAGTGCCGCTAGTCGGAAGCGATACTGCGCGCGAAAAAGCTGTTGGAGCTATCGTAGATTCGATGTGTCAGTTAATTGTACTTAGCGATAACGTTTTTGGTCAGCTTATGACTCGCCTGGAAAGCTGTAGTAACTATATGTCGCAGGTCAGGGCGCAAATTGATCGTGTAGAGAAAAAGTTGGATGCAGTAACGAAGGTTCGAGTTTTTCTATGCTCTTCTGAAGCTTTA